AAATTATCAGTGACACAAACCTAAAGGTATGTTCACATATAAATATTATCTCAATCAAAGCTCGGGTTTTAATCACCCCGTTTACACAGGCAAATCTCAGATTATTAGTCGTCAAATTTTTTGTGCTTGTTATTCACACATCTCAAGGAAAGGTTATATTTCTTCTCTGTGCACCGTGATCACTTTTTTCTGCTATATAAAGCAATTTAAATATATTTTAACTTAGTATTTTATTAAAAATACCTTTCCAAACCCCTTTTCCTTGCTAGCGTCCATTTTTATTCACTTTTACATTTGGCATTTCTCCTCTTCTTCGCAAAAATAATCGATAAAGCAGGTTGGACACCGAAAAGTTATCGGTTATATCTGAGATTATTTTATAATTACAGATTAACAAGGGACGAATTTTGTATGGCTAATCTCTTTTTCTAATTACATATAATCTACTTATATGTGAACCTAGTATAACAGAGCGAGAACCACATCTCCCGATCATTAAGTACCGCCGCCGAAGAAGTAGTTGGATTTCAGCGAGACCGAAAGAACAACTGGTACGATGAGGAATGTCAAGAAGCCGCAGAGAAAAAGGACGCCGCCTATATAGGGAACTGAAGAAGTAAGCGAAACGTATTTGCCGCAATAAGAAGAGAGAGACCGAAATACGTGAGTGCGAAGAGCTTGAGATGCTGGCCGACAGGAGAAAACGCCCCAAAATTTTACCAGAGGGTTAGCCGACTTACGGAAGGTTTCAAGACCAGGGCGAACTCCTGTAAGAACAACAATGGCGACCTAGTGACCGATGTCCAGAATGTACTTAAATTATGGAGGGAACACTTTTCCACCCTACTGAATGGTAGCAGCGCTGATATTAGTGGAGAATACGAACCCGAGCCCCCAGTCAATGACGATGGAGTCGATGTTTCATCACCTGACTATGACGAGGTACGAATAGCTATAGCGCGCTTAAAAATTAACAAAGCAGCTGTAGCTGACAGCCTGCCAGCTGAGCTATTAAAGTACGGTGGTTGATAAGGTGCATGCATCAACTCTTATGCAGAATATGGTCAGATGAACGCATGTCCGACGACTGGAATTTAAGGGTGCTCTGCCCAATCCACAAGAAAGGCGATCCTGCCATTCGCGCCAACTACCTCTGAATCAGCCTTCAAAGCAATGGTTATAAGGTCTTATCTATCTATCGCCAAATCTTAGAAAACACCCGCGAGAATAGGATCGACACACACCATCTATTTGTCGATTTCAAAGCCGCTTTCGACAGCATGAAAAGAATTTGTCTTTATGCCGCGATGTCTGAATTTGGTATCCCCGCGAAACTAATACGGCTGTGTAAAATGACGTTGAGCAATACCACCAGCTCCGTCAGAATAGGGAAGGACCTCTCCGAGCCGTTTGATACCAAACGAGGTTTCAGACAAGGTGACTCCCTCTCATGTGATTTTTTTAATCTGATGTTGGAGAAGATAATAAGAGCCTCAGAACTGAACCACTCAGTACTGCACAATACTTTACAAGAGCGTACAATTGCTGCCACATGCCGACCACATCGATATTATAGGTAAAAACAAGGGCTACGCTTGTTCTGTCTTTTCGGGATTGGATAGAGAAGCAAATCGAATGGGTCTGGTGGTGAACGGGGACAAAACGAAGTATCTCCTGTCATTACACAAACAGTCACAGCATACACGTCTTAGCACCCACGTCACTGTTGATAGTTTGAAAAAGTAGACGACTTCGATTTATTTGGGAACCAGCATTAACACCAATAATAATGTCAACCTTGAAATCCAACGGAGAATCACTCTTGCCAAAACGTGCTACTTTGGACCGAGTAGGCAACTGAGAAGTCCTCTCTCGTCGTACAAAGATCACACTCTATAAGTCACTCATCATGCCTGTGCTGGTGTATGGCGCGGAGGCATGGATAATGAAAACATGGCTGACTTCCAAAACGTACCAATACAATGTTTGGATACTGTTCTACTGCGGTATTTAAACTCTTTGCATATGCAGAGTAGCGAAACATTGCAACCATATACATTGCATATTTGGAATATTTAATAAAACAATAATCACCATTTCGGAATTTTGCATTTTTAAAACACCAATGGTAACCAATAACAAACGAAGCATCAACTTTGTTTCTGATGCGCTAGCAATGCGTTTCGATAACTTTTCGGAGGGTTTTGGAAAAGTGTACATTGTCAACCAATTGTAGTTCGGCGTTATGGAACATTCAACTTTGTACGTATGCAATGCAATTGACGTTTTGGAAGTCAGCCCATCTGATGAAACGGCTCTTGGAGTTTTCGAGAGAAAGATTCTGCGAAAGATTTACTGCTCTTTACGCGTTGGCGATGGCAAATACCACAGACGATTTAATGATGAGCCGTATGAGCTTTAAGACGACATAGTGTAGCGAATTAAACTTCAACGGCTCCGCTGGCTTGGCCATGTCGTTCGAATGGACAGAAACGCTCCTGCTCTAAAAGTATTCAACGCGGGCCGCGATGCTGGTAACAGAGGAAGAGGAAGGCCTCCTCTGCGTTGGAAAGACCAGGTGAAGAAGGACTTGGCTTCACTTGGCATTTCCAATTGGCGTCAGTTAGCATAGAAGAGAAATGACTGGCGTGCTGTTTTGGACTCGGCCAAAATCGCTTTGGCGGTTACAGCGCCAATAAAGAAGAAGAAGTACGCCGTGCGGGTACACTAGTTATTTATATTAAACTAGCTGGACTCGGTTGAACGAGACTTCATCACGCGCGTATCTAGTGAACTGTTATTGGAATAATATAACGTGTTTGGAATATGCCATGTACCAATAATTATCCATGAGATATGTGCGATGTTTATAAAAAATCTTAACATTTTCATACAAAATTTTATGGTGCATTTACATGGTATGAATCTGTTCATAAGCCGTATGAATTTTCCTATAAAAGAAGCACAAACTCTATGAAGAAATGAATGAACAATTTTGACTTGTATACTAGACAATAC